AAAAGACCTTGTATCCTTATGTGAAAAAAGCTACTCTGCAATTATAAATATAAAAGTGGAGCGCAGAGAGCAAAAAACGAAAAACTCTTTATTAATCCCTCTTGGGAGAGAAACACACAGATACTAAACAAACAAGTAATAAAATTAGGATCTAATTGAATAGAATCGACTAGTCCAAAAATAATAGTAATATGGTCAAAAGAAATGCTATAAGTATGTGTGTGGCAGAATTGCCATAAATAGTAGCAAACTGAAGATCTCTAAATACAAAAGTAAATAAACTCTATAATTAGAACAAAGAGTATATCAAGTGCACAAAAAATATATGCACAAAGATCTACCAAAATACGTTTGTAACGTTTGTTCTTGATAAAGACGACTTGCTTCGCCGAAACGCGCGTTGGGCACTTTACTAAAGCGGATGATGATTTTAATTTAGGATTCTATTTTGTTTTCAGACTGTCCTATCATTCATTTATGGTGGGACTAGATACTAGTCTATTACCAGCATGATATTAGGGACTCCTTCCCCCAAATCCCCTACAGCTGTTTAGGCAGTTTGCCTAACATTTATATTGCTGCCTACTTAGACTGCAGGCTTTTTTCCTGCAATGTTACAAACGTATTTTGGTAGATCTTTGTGCACATATTTTTTGTGCACTTGATATACTCTTTGTTCTAATTATAGAGTGTATTTACTTTTGTATTTAGAGATCTTCAGTTTGCTACATTTAATGTATCTCCCCCCTTTTGGTCATAGTTATTTGCTACTATTTATGGCAATTCTGCCACACACATGGTGGGATTAGATACTAGTCTATTACCAGCAAGATATTAGGGACTCCTTCCCCCAAATCTCCTACAGCTGTTTAGGCAGTTTGTTTAACATTTATATTGCTGGCTTTTTAGACTGCAGGCTTTTTTCCTGCAATGTTGCAAACGTATTTTGGTAGATCTTTTGCACATATATATTTTTTGTGCACTTGATATACTCTTTGTTCTAATTATAGAGTTTATTTACTTTTGTATTTAGAGATCTTCAGTTTGCTACATTTAATGTATCTCCCCCCCTTTTGGTCATTGTTATTTGCTATTATTTATGGCAACTCTGCCACATACATGGTGGGATTTGATACTAGTCTATTACCAGCATGATATTAGGGACTCCTTCCCCCAAATCTCCTACAGCTGTTTAGGCAGTTCGTTTAACATTTATATTGCTGGCTATTTAGACTGCAGGCTCTTTTCCTGCAATGTTGCAAACGTATTTTGGTAGATCTTTGCACATATATTTTTTATGCACTTGATATACTCTTTGTTCTAATTATAGAGTCTATTTACTTTTGCATTTAGAGATCTTCAGTTTGCTACATTTAATGTATCTCCCCCCTTTTGGTCATATTTATTTGCTACTATTTATGGCAATTCTGCCACACACATACTTATAGCATTTCTTTTGACCATATTACTATTATTTTTGGACTAGTCGATTCTATTCAATTAGATCCTAATTGTATTACTTGTTTGTTTAGTATCTGTGTGTTTCTCTCCCAAGAGGGAGTAATAAAGAGTTTTTCGTTTTTTGCTCTCTGCGCTCCACTTTTATATTTATAATTGCAGAGTAGCTTTTTTCACATAAGGATACAAGGTCTTTTTGGGAGGCAGATTGTTTATAATCTGCAACCCATTAGTCCTATTTTCTCTTTGTACTTCTAGGGGTTAGGCCCCGTTGTATCTCTCAACCATCACAACCTGGCGGATGGACTTTTTCCATTCCTAACCAGTGCTGTGTTTCTTTCTAATCACAGGCTGAACATAACTTATGAGGTACTGTTATGAAGTTAATATACATATATATATATATATATATATATATATATATATATATATATATATATATAGGTTTGAATTTACAATGCTACAGGGTATTGCAGTGTAGTAAATACTTAAACATTTATGTCTGCATGAGAGACAAGGCAGGAGCCCAGCAGTGTACATGAGTGGTGACAGAAAGAGTAAAAACATGTCACAGGCACAAAATAACAAGGAGAGTGAGAAACAAAACCATTGAGTGCTTACTGCATATAGAGAACTATCACACGTATCGCATTGTTAAATGTAAAAGTAATGCCGATTAAGTCAGGCGATTAGTAAATATGAATAACCCTAGCGATAAGTTTACTTGACTGGTGTAGAGTAGTAGCATGACAAGTTACAAAACCAAGTGTGACATGTTTAGCGTTGCAGGCATCTAACATATGATGAGACACTCTACCCTAACATGCTAAGCATAGGGCTGGGACCGATATGTTATATCAGGCAAATAACTCATAGTGCGAACTAGTCAACAGAAAATTAAATTAACTGGACAACAGAAAAATATTCATGCTGCACCAGCTTGGCTCCGTCTGCTGCCCCTCCATACAGCTTAATGTTCTGATTGTGTGCTCAAGTGGTAGATCAGCCAATCCCTGTCTCCCCCAAGGGCATATGGTGTGTGGGACAGTGTAGGGTTGGGTCTGCCGTAATGTAGCAGGGTGAGGGACGCCAGGCTTGTGTGTGGGCGTGCAGCCTTAGATAGCCGTCCTGGGAGTCACTTATATCCAAGTCCATGGATCTCGTTTGGAGCCACAACATGGTGGTGTGCTTAAATGTAGGTGGCTTGTTCCTCCTTCCTCTGAGGTCCCATGCTTGGTATCATTGTGTTCCCTGCGAGTTCACCTCTCGATTGGTGACCCTTTTGAATCGTTTAGGAGCTGTTTGTGGGTGGTGTGTGGCGATTATTGCCTGGAGAAGCAGGAGCAGTTCTGTTCTGCGTCCTCTCGGCTCAGCGGTCAGGCCCCGCCCCCTCAGCTGTCTTTTAAAGAACCACCATTCTTCTGTTTATATTATACTTCACTATGTTACTAGCCCGGCCTAATACGTACTTGCCTCTGCAAATTTCCTACTACACGACTTCTGAGAATGCATAGTGCAGCAGCACACTGTGCCCACAGACCTATATAATTAAAACACATGCAGCAGGCAACACTTTCTAACCTGTGGGTACAGAAAACATTCAGAACTCCTTATTTGTTGATTTTAATGGTAATGGCATGTATGAGAAGGAGAAAGGAATTTATTTCTCTTTAAAATGCTGTCAATTTTTATTGAGAGGTATG